CACACACACACACACACACACACACACACACACACACACACACACACACACACACACACACACACACACACACACACACACACAAAACCTCTATGTTCAGGGCAATCTGTCCATCTGTTAGTCTGTCAGTTACATGTTATCTTTAGTAAATGGGGTTAACAGCAACCGCTGCGTTAGGAGAGGCAGGGATAACAAGTAYTCGTGCCAAGAAGAAAGACCAGCTCGAGTTGAGAGAGCCGGAGAGGCATCAACAGTAAAGAACAGGGAGTAAGAAGGAGAACACATTATGAAAAGTGTAAAAATTCTCTGATTTARGCCCCGTGATTGAGGATAATGGTTTGCTACCCTGCTGTGATGGCTCTGCGCTGAGCCAAGAGCAAGAGAGAGAAAGAGGTGGGGAATGGGGCGCTGGAGTAGCTGAGAGAGACACCGAAAAAAGGGGGTCATTTWTGAAATAGCAGCAGGATGAGGTAAGAAAGAAGATAGAAGGTGAGGAGGAGAGAACAAGGCAGGGAGGAGAGCAGAAATGGATGAAGTGGTTAAAAACACACAAAAAAAGGTGCAATTTATAAAATATGAAGAGACATCTAGTTTCATAGAGGCTATTTTCAGATTGCTGGCCAAATTTTTTTTTTTTAATTTTATTTTGGCATATTGAGGTTGACTTTAGGGGAAAGTAACTTTTTCAAACTGGATCCTCACATTTGTGGAAACTGAGATAAAATTCTGATTTCTTTCTAAAAATGCATTTGATTGAAGACAACAGGATCTCTAAAATCTGCAGCTGCAGAGCAAAATGGAAATAAGGCTGCTAAACATAGGGCTATGGAGAACAGTGTGGATACAGAACCGTTTGCAGGAATGTGGGATAGTTCTGCAGAACTGGAAAAGGCAACCATATAAAATGACAGACATTGTTGGGATTTTAAASATTTTAATTTATCATGTATCGTCGTTCTCATCATTCCCTAAATTGCATTCAGGTCCTGCTAGTTTAATGCGGCCTAAACCGCATCGGCTTCGGCCTCTTTTTTGGGGGATTAAATCTCTACCCCTAACTTAAAGCATCTCGTATGAGATTGCAGATTCACTCAGCGCTCTCGTCCTATGCCGGGGTCCGAGCGCCAAACTCTAATGCCATTTAGGTCATAACATTGCTGGTCTGGTCATGTCAATAAACCTCCTAAAGCTCATTCTGTCTCRTGTGAGTCTTTCCARGTTGAATGTATTTTTGGCACAACTTTGCGCATCCTTTATCTAACTGCATCCATGTGGATGTAATAATTGTTAATCATGTGTGTCTGGTGTAAACAATAATCATKTTCACATCATGAACATTCTCAGAATCACTTCTAAGTGTMGCCAATGGAACCAGAACCACAGAAACSTGGGTACGCCAGYCCTGGAGTTGGCGTGGGGCTGCATACATTTKCACATTCATTTCAGTTTTGATACATCTGRAGTTTTGTGTGGAAAATGGCRTWCGCAAGCTKTTTGTGCATACGCACCGTTGCTACATGAGGCCCCAGCTGAACACCTTAAWGTGTTAGTTTGACAAKATCATTTTASCCCCGCCCACTTTGCACATGGTTGGCTCTTAATCACAMATACACAAATCAATCCACACCAAATTTTATCTGCAACACCAGGGACACCTGCTCAGCATGTTTGAGTAGTAGTTTGACTAGATCAATTCAGCYCCGCCTACTTTGCACTGGTTGTCTATAAATGACACATACATGATTCGATMTGAACCAAATTTTGTGTGCTTCATAAGAGAGACCTGCTCAACACATTTGTGTTGTAGTTTGACAAGATCACTTTAGYCTCGTCTTTTCACCKTWTGACATTATTTAAATAATAATCCACTTTATATAGACCCAACTGAATGATTTGAATGTGGAAAAGAATGACTTAAAAGTAGGATGTGTCTCATTTAAAAGTGATTGCTTGCACAAATTTGAATGCGTAAAAAAATAAATAAATAAATTCTTAATGTAAAGCTGTGCCAAAATAATCATTTATATTGTGTCCAAGCACTTTAGCTTATAGTTATTTTACCATATGGCCCATAGAGGGTGGGGAAAAAAACAACAAAAAAACTGCCATCTATTAACCTTAATATGCGTAATCAAATCATTCCTCTAGTAAAATCCTCACCCCCTCCTCCTCATTACKGGCCTCCTCCTGCTGAGCTCAGCATGCTGCTGCTCTCACTAATGCTCAGTCAATTACTACTGCAGGTGCTGAGACTAAAAATGGGGCGGAGTGTGTGTRTAGGTGTGCGTATGTCTGAGGTTCATTTAAGGCATTTCCTCTGAATGTGTCTTGATTTCCCTGAGCTGTGGTTCTGCAAAAAAAAAAAAGAGTGTCAAACATATTAACTAAAAAAAATATGAGTAGGTATGGAAGAAGATAAGATATAAGACAGACGGGGGGGTGGGGGTTAAGCTCAAACTCTAAAACCTGCTGGTGCTGCTGTTAATTTTGCTCATGAAAGATAAAACAGCTGGAAAAAACCGCTAACATAAAATTCAGGTGCTCCTGTATGCATCATGYATATTTGTTTTTTATGTAAAATTTGCCAACATGTTAAATTATGCTAAATTTGTTTAAGMAGTTTTCTAAATATTCCATGAAGAGAGTTTTGTGAGTGTCATTTTGACTGATCAAATAGAGTGGAGCGTRTGGAAAATAATATGGATTTATTGCAATGGATGTCAATGAAATAAACAATATCTCCGCCATATGTTTTTGTAATATTGCACAGCTCCAACCAAAACAAACCGCTTCCACAGCTGTTGATATATCGTTTTATTTGTCAAAGCTTGTTATAGAGTCAGGAAAGACTAATTCRATATTGCTGTGAATCTTTGGCCCCTCTGCTGGAAGAACTAAACAGGCACTCAGACAGAACAATGCGAGACAAACACACAGTGAGTGAAACAAAGTCACAGTAGTGCTTTCTACTGTGACTGTAATTGGACTGGGTTTTGCAGGACTGCTTCTTTGTCTTTTTCCTCATTAACAGTACAAACGAAGAACTTTTTCAGATCTTTGTTAGTCTCTTTAACATATTCATATTGGGACTTGCGGCTTGGCGTTCCACTCTTTTAAACACTTTTCCGACAGAGCAGATTCATTGTTTGCTGCTTTAGTTTTCATTGCTATGCAGCGTGCGGCCTTTTGTTGTATTGTGAGTGCAGTCCTTGTAATAGAAATAACAGTAACTTCCAACCACAGTTTGAAAAGGTTAGATGAACACACTGTGGACTTGAGTTTTCTCAATGATACAAACACACACCCAAGCAAAGTGAACAGATGACCAGTCTGTATTATTTTCTCTGTGTAAGCTATTACACACAAATGCACTGCATACYTGCACACAGAGCTCCTGACAAGGCCTATTGTTTGTCCTTGACATTTTCATGTGTTTGATGAGAAGCTTATATGAAAGGGCCATATGTTGACATCATACATTTTCAAAAGGAGAGCGTTCTTTGTTCGCTCTCTTGTGGCTGGTTCGAGGGTCTACTGTGTTCAGGGTGAGCTTGCTCCTAATCAGCCACGTGGCTGCCTGTTTGAAATGTGTGTGCACGTGAACATACACAAAAAGTTGGGGAGCTGCAAATAAAGTGAAGATGCTTTTCACATCCACCATGTGTTTGTATTTGAAGAACTGAAATGAGAAGCAACACACACACACACACACACACACACACACACACACACACACACACACACACACACACACACACACACACACACACACACATATGGGGTGCAACAATACACAATATTTACAAGACTTTGGGATTTACTGTCAAAGCTGTTTGTCTGTTAGCAAAATATCTTATGAACCTCTGGAGGATTTATTTGAAACTCTAAGAAAGTGATCATATTGTATGACATACAGTATATGTAAATCTTGTCAATATTTGGAGATAAACCAATTTAAAAAATGATGCCAGAGCCTACAAAAAATACCCTTGACAATACAAAAATGTCTAAAACTTTGTCRAGYATATAAATGTTGAGTTAAATTTAGTGTGGTAGTAGCAGATAGTCTTGGCCAATGTATAATCTGACACATCTCATAATATCACAAGATATTGGACATATTGGTATGACTAACAAGACTATAACTTTCATTAGAAGATTACTTTTGTTTTACAATTTGTCATGAAAGGTTGTTTACAGTATGCTTTCCACTTGGGCTTTAATTGTCTATAGTTTTCAGTATGAAAATCAGTGTAGAAAAGTAGCACTGTAGAACAGATGTTCAGTTGTTTTGCATTTTGGGTTTACCATGTCTTGGAAAACATTGCATAAACACTAAAAGTCTGTTTATTTACATGTTTAGTTTGATAAATCTGAATGTGAAGTACATTTTCTTTGGCTCATTTTTTTCCTAACATTGTCCTTGAAATCTGAACTTCATTGTAATTTTGTTAAAGTTCCATCTAATGTCATGTTTATTTTGACATATTGTTTTGGAGATTATTTATTCCTGATCCTGGAAGTGCTTCGATTTCAAATTATTCTGCCATCTTGTTTTTGTTTCCATTTTAGTGGCAAGTGGATTTGCTTGCATTTGAAAAACAAGTCTTAATTTTCCCTTAAATATTTCTACTCATTTAAATTTCTATTTAATCAAATTTTGGTTAAAAAAACAAAAACAAAGTAACATCTTTGCTGACTGAAGACTGTTTCTTCCACAGTGCATGTGAAGGCAGGAACATGTGAAGTAATTGCTGCCCACCGCTGCTGCAACAAGAACAAGATTGAGGAGCGATCTCAGACCGTCAAATGTTCCTGTTTCCCGGGTCAAGTCGCCGGCACTACTCGGGCGATGCCCTCCTGCGTCGATGGTATGTTTCACTCAATGTCTGTTTGTGTGAATCTGCACATTCCCACTGTCTGACAAACACCTGATTTAAATAGGGTTGTAGAAAAATGCCATTTTCTGTTGTTCCTGTTTTCACACTCATTAGATTTCCCTTTGTTTGATAATAGGCTCCAGCTCCAGCTCAGTTATTACWAGCAGAGTGCTAAAGCTGTGCTTGCATTACGACTCTGGAAGAAATACTGAACTAATGTACTGTATACAGAGCTGCCTGACATTTACTCTGCATTAGCAGCAGCCTATTTGTGTCTGCTATGTATGTGTTTGATTTTCATGTTAGAGAGGAGTCACTGCTGCTTCATTGTCCAATGTTGGTTTTTCTCCTCACCAGACACATTTTATTTAAAGCACACTCAAATATATTTTTGTGTTGAGCTTAGAAAATTTTCAGAAACTGAAATGTAAAAACCATACAAATTATACATTTTTAAGATAAACAAATTTTGAAACATTTTTTTTACCAAAACAGTTTGTGCTTTTTAATCTACTCATTACTCATTACTCATTTTTTGAAGAAAATATAGTTGAGGTATATATATTCTAATATATCAGGGTTCATGCATAAAAATAAGTATTCACAGTAATACTTGTTATTTGAAGACAGAAAATCTTGCAGGTACAGTCAGAAAACACTCTGGCTGTTGGAATTCACTTTTAAACTTCAAAACAAGACCAGATGGAAGCCAAGTAAAAATAAGTTAACCTTAACTAATTTGGTATTTACAACAGAAGTTCTGAGATTAATCACAAGATTATAACTTGATAGTCTGCAAACACTTCCTACACTATATAAAAACTGATGGTTGGATTTACTTAACTAGTTTATGTCAACAATTTCCATTAAACTGAATTGAGTAAAGCCACATTTACATCGAAATAAATTGTGAAAGTTACGTTACACTTACTCAACTCAGTTAAGTGCAAATTGTTGACATAACTTAGTTAAGTAAATCCAATGATCTGATTTTTGAGTGCACTTTCATAAAAATCCTTTAAAATTTATAATAGTTGGTTAGAAAAACCTCTAACTGTAGTACACCTCAAAACTATACTGAGCCTTAAATCTGATTGATTATGTTTAAAATATCTTCAAATGAAACAAAATAATAATAATAATAATAATAATAAATAAAATAAAAACAATGAAAAAAATTCATGGTTTTAATGAATTTTAAAGAAAAAAATGGCCTCATTCTCAACTAAATAACTCAGGGGGGTCAGTTTTTGCAAAGCCAAAGGGTCACTGGCTGAACATCCATCAGTTATTATTGACAATGACATTGACATATAAATTTAAAATACAAGTTCATCTGAATTGAGCTCATTGGTGGGTCAGACTGAGCTCGGACAGATGTGGCCCCTGGGCCATCAGTTTAAAAGCCCTRTCATGAAGTGAAATATTGGTATAAAACAGTTAAATAGTCAAAGTATTCAGTGAACACAGAATGTGATGCTAYAAAAGTTGGTCATCAGGTTTTAATTTTGTTGCACTTATACCAAAAAGTAGAAATTATTGTGTTTTTACTTTGATCACATTTTTATTTTTTTWAATCATTTTAACATTTACATATACTTGTATTTAAACGTGGTTTCAGTTATTTTCAGAACAAAAACGGAACTCTGTTACTGTTGAAAAAAATTGGATTAGGAAATACTTTGCCAATTAATCTTCCCAGACATATTTGAGTCATAATTTAAACATTCACTTAAAGGCTCTAATAAACCATGCAGATGAGAAATTGTGGCAGTCAATTCATCAGATCTGTAACATTCCTTAAAATAACGTGAAACTAACAGAAATGCCAAGTTTTCCACATCAAATCACATTAGGTTTTGCTCGCTCTCTTAACTACATAATCACACTGTGACCAAATCCTCGTGGTATTTCATTCAGTAAAAGATTAGTGCTTCCAACTGCTTTTTATCAACATGCCATATTAACAGAGCATTGCTGGGTTTGAAATGTATAAACATATAAAAAAATATTTCCTTGAAACTCTGAGAGAAAATTGAATAGAGGTGTGTCTCAGGAAAGTTTGATGTCAAAATCCACTAATATGCAATGAAGTAACGGCATGATTGAAAACAAATCCACCACTTTGTTTTCTCGTAGCCTCCATTGTAGCCCAAAAGTGGTGGTGTCAGATGCAGCCGTGTATGGAAGGCGAGGAGTGTAAGGTTTTACCGGACCTCACGGGATGGAGCTGCAGCACAGGCAACAAAGTCAAGACCACAAAGGTTGGTGTGCACATTGTTCTTTTCCAAAWTCTGTGTGATTTTTTTTATTAACCCATTAAGGGTATTCATCCTCTCTGACTGTGTTTTATATCTCATCCTTGGTCTTCTACTTTTTTCACTCTTTTCATCATCCAGATTTCTTCACTTTACTTTCTCCATTTTGGAGCAAATATTCTCTGCACCAAAATAAAGCCAACAGGAACAAGGCAAATACATGCACACGTACTGAACGTGATATCACAATTCCCTTCACTCTCACTTGCCCTGTTTCCTTGTCTCTCAGTGGCATGCCATCTGACTCCATGTAAAAAAAAAATGCCACATTCAATTCACAGCTACAGTTGGATGTCCCCGGATAGTTGTTAGGTTCACATTCTTTGATGATAAAGTTTGAATGCTATGTGAACCAGTCTTTTTTTTTTTTTTTTGTGCCGGGTTTTCTTGCACTGAGTTCTGTTTGTTGCTCTGTGCCTTTGTGAGGCCGTGAATATGTGTGGGCCTTCGCTACTTTCGGCTTCCCAATTGCACCTGTCGGCTGCTTTTCACTGGCCTGACCTGAGCAGCTTCCTTAAGCAGTCTGTCGTGGGAAGGGAAATTGGTGCAAAACTCGCCTCCTGTCACTGTACCCTTTCTGTTTCRTCCCTCCATCCTTCTCACCTTCCATTATTCATGGCCGGGTGCAGACCTTTGTTTTCTGCCTAAATAATTGATCGAAGGCGTGGTCAGAGGGGCACATCATGAGAGCATCTCTTTAGYGGAAGGAGAGGGCTGAGAAGAGGCTTGAGATATGCAATATGTGCTTTCTTTTTTGTTCTGACTTTAAAAAACTCGGACGATCCCAAGAGACTCAGTAACAATCTCTKTACTCCGGAGTGATAAAGGATGCCCTCGTTATTTTTCCTCCACTCAACTCTCACCTAACAAAGTGAGTTATATCTCTCAAAAACTTGCATTTTTCTCTTTCTGTTATCTTTTGAAATGTTTTGATGCATAAGCTCAAATTTAAGTTTGCTCAAAAGCTTATTGCAGGTGCATTTTCTGAGAGATGTCACAAAGATAAACAAAAATTCTTGAACTGAGCTGATGTCAAATCTAAATGAGTTGTTGAAAGCTGTTGATGTACATTCAGTTGTTTTTCTGAGAGTTGCAATAAATTCTATTCAGTGACATTTTTTTGCTAATTAGAAACGCACACAAATGCACACAAAAACAGGCAAACACATTACTGCRTCGCCTTCAGCTGCAGGCAGATTGAGTGAGTGGTTCTGAAGTAATAAATAGTTCTAATTTCACAGAAAGGCACAACGTTTTTGACTGATGTGATATACATTTTAAAAAAGAAGTTATTTCTTGATTTTGTGAGGGTKGTTCGGAAACAAATTTATATATTTGATCTCGAGCGTTTAGTTTTATCAGCCTTGAAGTGTGCATTTCTGGTTTCCTGAACAAGATCAAAGCAARCAGTCAGACATCGCCTTATCATTGACTCTGCCACTGCTTAAAAGACCACAAATATTGGCTGTCTCTTGCATTCAGGTCTTTGATCAATGATCTGYGTTCTCCTGCTCTTATGTGTTTGGGTCTACATTATTTGAAAGTGTTGGCTTATGTGTTTGCCTGATGATGAAAAGAGTGATTTTTTTTTCTTGCCCCTCTGTGCTCCGGTGTTGTATGCTGAGGTCAAGATGCGCAGGCATCCAGATCAATAGCATCGAACATTCTCTTATAGTCCCATTAAGACCTGCTCGTAAATTGAAATTGACGATGGAGCAGGAGAAAGAGGATGAAAGAGGGGCAACAGTAAGGAAGAAAAATGCAGGAAGAGACAAACAAGAGAAACAGGTGGAGTAAAGTAGGTAAAATAATTGAGGGGAGAAAAAAAAAGCTTGATAAATGGGTTATCAAAACTAGGCAATTGACAACAGCAAACAAATAAAAAAAAAGGATATGTACCTCCCATCCCTCTTTGTGATTCTGGCTGGAAGCAGAGGAAAGGAGGAGAGTGGGAGGGCAGAAGGAGGGGAGGAGGAGGAGAGAGCAGACAGCTCGATCAATGCCAAATAATATCATATGGATGAACAGACAGACGTGGTCGCGATGCCAAGTCACCGAGCTGTCACAGGCTGCAAAGCAATTGTRTGCAGATGCACAAAGAGTCACATTAACATTTGACAAATGAAAAGTTGTCATGTCAGCGATACAGGAAATGTTTCAGTCCCTATGTACTGTAGGCGAGCAGGTGCTGCAGCCTGAAAGAACCATTAACCCTCTTAGAAAGAACATACTGTGTTCTGGAAGCATATTTCAGTAATACACAGAGCAAATCAAAGCCTTCTGCACATCGGAACCATTTTCTGTGACTGGAATTTAAAGTAAAATTTGTATCCCAAAAAGTAAAATAAAGAAAAAACACACATTGTGGCTACATTTTTAAAAGAATGACATAAACTGAACTACTTAAAACAATTCTAAAACAGCTAAAACCAAGGGGAAATGGTGTTTTGTATCCAAATAGATCTACTTAAGTGTGTCTAATATACCAAAGAGCTGAAGTTTTGTGTTGGATTTGATAATTCTGCACTTTTTGTCAAAAATAAAAGAAATGACAACAGGGAAATTCATTAATAAAAAACATATTGTCACGGAAGAAATTACATTGGGAAAATGTGTTAAATGTAGCACTCATACTACACTGATAGTCTTCATCATTTCTTACTCTACGGTTTGTTTTCCCTCTACAGTCCATATCCTTTGTTTTTCCATTTTCTAGATTGTTTTCAATTATCATGACACAGATTTAATTTTATAGAGGTTTGGAACTTCCATATGTTTAATAAATTCAAATGAAACAACTGTAGTGCAGCTTTAATGAAAAGTACATGGAACAAGACTGATTGCCATATGAACAACTTTTGTCAGGCAAAAAGTGTCACAATCTCATAAGAATGATAAATGGGGTCCAAAAAAGGCCTATAAAGAAGACTCTCAAGCACCACTTGTTTCCTTTACTTAGTAAAGTACAGACACAGTTACAGACAAACCTTTAAAGGCAATGAATGAGCACCAACTACGGATTTTGTCTTTGCACCTTWAAGTGCAGCAGGCATAAAAATGCAAGTGTAAAGCATAGTGAACTGGCATGACAACAAACTCCAGCAGACTCTTTGATCAGGCACAGTGGTGGATGCCTGAAGGCAATAAGAATGGACCCAGGCAGTGTGGCCTGGAACCATATAGAGCAGATACATTACAAAGGTTCAGCTGTCAACTTGAAGGAATCCGTACTCTGAACTCAGCACTGGCTGACCGTCGCACTTTTGTTAGAGCTGCAACATRTGGTTAGCTGGTTAAAGAAAAAAGAGAATCYGTGAAAACACAAGATAAAAAGGGATGGCATGTGTCGAAGCTGAAGAGGGAATGCAGGGCAAAGGGGGAAGAAAATCTGCAGGTCTCAAAGTGTTTGGTCTGTCATATTCTCAAACACAGCGGCTCATCCTTGGTTGTAGAACCTTGAAATAAATTCAACAAAACCCCAGCATTCCTTTCAGAGTTTTAAAGGGATCCATGATTAGTTGTAATATTAGACTTTATTTGATAAACATTTATTTTAACTGAAAAATAAATACTGTAAATATATTGTAGGCTGTTTAGATTAGTAAATTTTAAAAAAATCTATATTTTAACATGGACTGAGCCATTTTATTTACGCGCAAAGCATTCTTGGTAATTCATGACATGGAAAGGTCATCGGTGCGATGCTGCTAGTGAGCTATATCCACCCTGAAGGTTAATCTTGGACAAAACCTGACGATTGGCTCTTTTAAATGAAACCAAAGAGCATTGACAGAGAGGAGAAGGAAGAAATGACTCAGCCTGTAACTGAAAATGTGGATGGAGGACAACAGAGCTGCTCCATGGAAGAAGAACCTCAGCTTAGCCCGTTAGTTTTAGCTTTAGCGCTGTCACTGTATTGCCTTATATGTATTAGCTCATTGCTAGCATGACAAACTAACAAGCTAAACTGAGGTCCTCATCCATATTTTCAGTTGCAGGCTGAGTCATTTTTGCGTTCCTCTCTCTGTCATGTGGATGGAGGACCTCGGTGACGAGAGGAGAATGTGTAGGGCTGAGCTAGATAAGCTGAGGTTCTTCTTCCATGAAGCAGCTCTGTTGTCCTCCATCCATATTTTCAGTTACAGGCTGAATCGTTTCTGCCTTCTCCTCTCTGTCAACRCTCTCTGGTTTCATTTAAAAGAGCTGATCGTGAGATATTGTCCAAGAATAAACTTTGGATATAGCTCACTCGCAGCCTTGCACCAATGACCTATCGACGTCATCATTTACCCAGTATGCTTTGCATGTAATTAAAATGGCTCAGTCCATGTAATATATATTTTTTAAATTTAGTTTAAAAATTATAAAAGCTAAACAACCTACAATATTTTTACAGTTTTTATTTTACTGTTAAAATACGTGTTTATCAAATAAAGTCTAATGTTACAACTAATCCTGGATCCCTTTAAACTAAAATAACATTGAGCTGAAAAACGACAGAATTATAGTTGTTTTGGTCAAAACTTGCAAACACTGTTTTTGTATGCAATATTGTGAGATGACTCAGAATAACAACAAATTTAGCTGAATATCAGTAAAACTGAGTTATAGCTAGTTTTGTATTGGCTAAACATAAGTCAATAACCAATGCTGGTCATTTTAAATCAGGTTGACTCCAAATGTAAGGCGTTTTAGATGCACATCCAATTATTACTTCATGGTTGTTTCATTTAAATCTTTACAATGGTAGGGCTTAAAGTTTGATATGAATGACTCTCACCTAATACCAGAGTCACTTTTATCTTAATATCTGTAAAACTGGCCAAAGTAACCATTTTCTTTTTGCTAAAGTTGCTTAGTTGTGGCGAGCATCTTGAATGGTGCTGCCACCAACACGTAAAGCATCGTAGGCATTTATCCAATGATTATTTTCTGAGTTTCATTAAAATCCATTTGTTCACCCTTGAGACATTTTGCTAACGCTCCAAAAAAACAAACAGAAATGTCTGATTGCCTCACACAGATAAAAACATCATTGCCTCTTGCGTTGAGCGATAAAAGTGAGTGTATGAGCGTAGAAAATGGCCAGACGTGCCGACTTGATAAAGAGAGTGATTAGTGCAGCTATCTCAACAAACAGATGTTAACGACACGGAGGCCAGATGCTGACTGGGAGCTTCTGTGGTCTGGCTGCCCCGACTCAAGCTGTGTCGTGTTTACTTTCTTGGGTGAAAAGAAGTGACTCCCCAATGTGCAGCACGAGTGCTCCTCCAATAAGAACTTCTGTCCATTTATTGACATTCTGCTGTTCTCTCACTCTGCAGTTGTTATCCTTTCACCATGTGAGTTCATCTCTGAGGTATTCAAACCACCTCATGAGTTTTGATCCACAATTTGTTTTTCCTTCTTGCTGTTTCAGGTGACCCGATAGTCCTTCCCATCGGAAGTGAAACAGGAGGAACAGGTGGCGAAAGTACTTTCAGCACAAAGAACTTTTTAAGTTTAGAAGAAAAGCACTCTGATGGATTTCTATAAGAAACTGTTGAATTTTTCTGAGCATAACCAGGACTCGGTGGCTGAAGAGATCGAACTCTTAACGCTGCTCGCCATCAACGCCGAACACTTCTGGCTCTCCTGGCTCTTTTACAGCAGAGGACTGACTACACCACCCACAATCCTTTAATGCTCGACAAAAATTATGAACGTGAACTATGACCTGAACATCATTAGGTGACAGAAAAAAACATGACTTCTTTAAAAAACCCAATACTCTTCATCTCTCTTTTTGGCCGAGTTGGGCTCCACATGGACATGAGGAAGAAATGATGTCTGGATGTTCAGAGATTTTTATTTTTATTTTTATTTTTTTTGCTTTTAGGTAAAAGTTCTTTAATGCAAAGATGAGAACAAAAAGATGATCCAGAATGCTTGCCTCATGTAGTCTGAGTGACATATTTAAACTTACTGTGCCACATACAATCTGCTCGCTGTCAAATGACCTTTTGGATCTGGAACCGAATCTCTTCTTTTATTTCTTTATTCGTTAAAAATCCAACACCATGACCATATTTTACCTTGAGTAGTCTGTGGCTCACCACTTGCCATTTTAAATGCAGTTTATCCTTTCTTTTCTCCTATTATTTTTTTTTTGGATAGAAAACAAAATCCTTTCCGGGGTGAGGTTACACTAATACAAAGTATATGTTATGGTATATTAAAACATGTAAACGTGTAAAAACTATGGTCAGTGGAATCAAAGGGGGCTAAAAACAAATTGATGCTCTATACTGGTTTTAATATGTGTTTTTAAAACGCCTGTTAGCAGCTATTGAGTACATGTGTCAGTATTATATGAAATGAATAAAATCTTTCAAATGAAATGACTTCTTTGTGGTTTGTGTTTAGCCTGATAAATAATCAAAACTCTGCAGTTGTTTCACAAAAACACAAACGTGAGCTGTTGTTGAAAACACCAGTGAAAATTGAAACGTTTCCCCAGAAACAAGAACAAAAGAAATTGACACTGTTAATTTGTAACCACTGTCAGTGCGTCGGGATTGCTCCAGGAAGTCTCATAAATAACTGGTAATAATTTTGCTGTTTACTTAAAACAATGATTTTATTATGTTTGTTTCTTGATGCAAAGAATGACTGGTCAAACCTTTATTATTTATGACCCCCGCACGCAAAGCATAAATGAGTCATATTGTTTTTGTACGTTCTTTTTTTTTTTTTTTTTTTT